TGTGTGTGTGTGTGTGTGTGTGTGTGTGTGTGTGTGTGTGTGTGTGTGTGTGTGTGTGTGTGTGTATGCGTATGAATGTAAACCTCTCATAACTTTTAAACGGCTTGACCGATTCAAACGGGATTGGCAGCAATCGAAAGAGTTGCTTTACCCCTAGATACTTTATACTATTTAAGGTAATTCGGGCCAATAAATTTTGAGCAATCTTGAAAATAAAATTTCCAAAAAATGGTTTTTTTGAAATAACTTTTAATCTGCTAAATCAATCGATTTCAAAAACTAATCAGCTCTTAAGCTTAAAAAACTGCGTCGATCGCCGTCAACACGATCAAAATCGGTCGATTCGTTTGTGAGGTATCGTGAACAAAATATTTGGGAAAAAGTGTTTTTTATTCTAGAAAGACTTCATATAATGCCGTTAATTTTTTTAAAATTGGTTAATTCATTTGTGAGGTATCATAGTCAAAAAAATTCTAAAAAATTGTTTTTTTTTTGTAATACATTTTTATTGGCTCCTCCAATCGATTCTAAAAACTGATCAATTTTTTAGCTTGGAAACCCGCGTTGATCGCCGTTAACGCGATTGAAATTGGTTGATTAGTTTGAGAGATATCGTTGTCGAAATAATTTAAAAAACGCGTTTTTTGAAATTACTACAACATTTTTGACCTCATTTATTATTGCTCTTGGTGTGAAATGTTGAGCGCTTAGGTATGGAGTTAGAGGGAAATTGCACGGATGGCTTTGAGGGTCAACCGTTTTCCCAATTTTTTATACTGAATACATAATAAAAAGATTCAACAAGTAAGAAACATATTGAGTTTTTTTGGGGGGCCCGTTTTACCCCACTTTTCTCAATTTTTTAATTTCGATGTACACAAAAAAATTAATACCATAAACTCATTAAAAGGCCAAAAAAAGTAAAACGAGCTGAAAAACTCATATTATAAAAATTTTCTGAAGGTGGCCCATTTTGCCCCACATTTTCAATTTTTTATTTTTAATGAACAGAGCAAATTGAGATCAAATACTTGGCAAGGGACTAAAAAAAGTAAAACCAGAGAAAAACACTAAAGATTTCAACATTTTTTTCTTAAGGGGCCCATTTTGCCCCCCCCCCCTACCCTAATTATTTTAGTTTAGTATTAGGTTAGAAGTTAAAAAAAAAAATTGCAAACGCGATTAAAAAGGAAGAGAATAAAATTTGTGATAAAATCACTGATGTTTTTGGAAGAAATCATGTCAAGTTAATTATTAGATAATATTATTCTTTCTTTGTTAATTGTGTTCTCTTCCTTTTCAATCGTGTTTACAATTTTTTTTTCAAGTTCTAAACTAATACTAAACTCGAATAATGACATAGCAGCAAGATTTTCTGTCAGATACCATAAATGTCGCAAATATGTTGATACAGTAGCATTCAAAATTTTTCTATTGATATTTTTATAATTAATTAACTTTTTTAAGAAATCTAAGTCTTGAGCTGGAGCGCTTATTGGACAAGGAGCTTTAAACCACGGTTTTACACAAATAATACTTGTATAATCCCCCCCCCCCCCAACCCTACTTGTCTCGTTTCAAAGTCATTTATTTCCTCAAATGTGAAAATTTCTAAGAATAAATGCCTAAAATTGCTTATTTTGATTTTTTGCTCAATTTTCATGACCAGTAAAATATATGAATTTTTGACTTTAAGAAATGGAACCAGGTGTGATTTTGTAGGAAATTTAATGCCCTTCAAGAATCCGCCATCAAAAAATTTTTATCTCAAGCGGTTCAAAAGTTATATCGTTTTTAATGAAAAAAGATTTTTTCACGTGTTATTTAAATGGGAAACTGTGAATGCTCACCGATACCTTTCAAAATTGAGCTAAAAATCCTGCCTTGCAGGGAAATTTTTTTTTTCTATGTATAGATTCATTTTAACCCATAAATTCGATAGGTTAGTTTTTTTGGCTCACCCTAATATATATATATTAGCATTCTAAACTAAGCGTGAGCCAAATGCACATCACGGGAGTGCTGATGGGTTAAATAACTAATGTAATCTGAGTTCTTAATGAGTTGCGGAAGTATGGCTTTCTTTTCGTCTCATCAAAACTTATATGCCAGCAAAATATTTCATTCATTACTAATTTGATAAGAAACGTGAAAAATAAAAAACTTGCTTGATTATTCACTATTCATTATTGTTTGACACTTTTTTCATTTATTTTCTTTGAAATGTTCGTTTTAAAATTTTTTAATCTTATCTTGCCATTTTTTTTAATGTATATTTTCGTCAATCTATTTATGAACTCAATTCAATTTTATAATTTAAATGAATTTGCTGACAGAAAGATTTCAGTTGAGACTGCCCGTATCTTATGTCGCAAACGTAATAATACGAGTTCCTGAAGTATTACAAAAACCTCTTTTGTTATTTCAAAATATTATTCTTTTACTTAATGTATTAATATATCACTATCACTCTCCATAAACACTGAGTTTTATTTTTTTTATTTTTCTCTTTGAGAGACTCCTTTCGAATGTTTTTTTTTTTTTATATTTTTTTGATTTTGGATTTATTCCAATAATTGCAAGCTCCGTACAACTTAGATTCAGTCTCATTAACACTTTTCAAACACGTGAAATCGAAAAGTTGGATATTTGTTCTCAATAAATGAAACAATAAAAATAAATTCTTACCTAGTAATTTGCAAGTACCACCTTGCAATGAATCTCCAGCAAGCTGAATGATTGCCATTAATATGTCACCTAGCATTAGACTTAAAACGTGATGAGTCTGGCATTTCCAATGCAGTACATGATGTGAAGTAGGAAGTAACCAGCCAGTAGCTAATGTGGCACCAAGAAAAATCGAGCTTATGATGAAACTTATAGAATACATCATAAACCTTATATCGGGATCTTGATTTACGGGCCTAAAAAATGTCATTGCAGCATGTATTTTAGCATAAATAATTAAAAAAAAGACTATACTGTAGCTGAAATAGATATAAACTTGAAAAATAGACAGTTTTGTTATAGACATTTGAAAAAAAGATCTTTTTGCTAAAAATTTCGGTTAGGTAAAACATTCTGATAACCTATTTATCGAAGTAGAAAAAATTTTTAAAATCAAGCTAAATCAGAGGGAGCCGTATTTAAAAGTAATCGATTTGGGGTAGAATACTTCACATATGTACATAATTCAATACAATACCTTTGAGGTGCATACTCCGGACAAACGAAAACTTTAGATTTGCCATCTAGTTCTTTAATTCTTTCCACACAATACTGTGAAGATAGCAAAGATATTCCATCAACTATTAAACTGCCATCGGACTGAAGAACTGATACATCAGTATTTCCAACTATAGTATAGTTATTTGAACGAGTACAGGATGGAAAGCCAGTAACTACATCAATAGATACAGATGTATTAGGCAGTAACGGAGGTGCGTTTTCTACATCCTTCTGATTTACACAGGAATGTCTGAAACAAATAAAAGTACAATTATTAAAATCTTAGAAAATTAATCTTTGTATGATACTAGAGGACCGATATCAACAAAGAGCTAGCCAGAGATGGATTATGTTGGAGCAAATTAATATCGTGAATTTGGAAAAACTATATCAGAACCCGGTCAGGGGCTTCCAAATTTTTTTGAATTATTTTAAGTATATTATTCTAACAAATATCAGGTTTATGAAATGATCATAAAATCCTTTTACTCCATAATCATAGAAATTTGTGATTTCTCACTCTTTTCCCATACCAGCCGTACTAAAATGTCATTTTTAATTACAATCATCTCATATTTGATACGGTCAATTGATTTTCAATTTCAACAATGCATGTATTGTGTATCTATTATACTTATATTTCAAATCTCGAAAACTTCTTGAAATTTACATTTATGAGTGAACTACCTTAATGCTTTTTTTCGGTTTATTTATTTGCTTATATGAAAGCAACGCCTTAAATAAATATTATTGTACCAAAAAAAAAAATTTTACAATAAAAGTGATAAAAGTTTAAATGATACAGTTCAATATTTTCTGTTTCAATGAATTATAAATGAAAATTCAGTTTTGAATGAACGTAATCGAATACTCATAACTATATATCTGTTATAATTGTTGAATTACTTTTTCTTTTTTCTTTATAATTATTTAAGCAACAAGACTCCTATAGCTATTGTATTTTTAATCTTTTGAAAGGGGTTAAAATACAATTATTATGTTAATTTAAGGAAGTACGAGCACCAAGACAACTTTTGATAAAAGGCTTGATTTTTTTTTAATATGAAGTTTAAATATGTCTAAACAAATTCCGAAAATTTGAAAGAGATTGCCCGATTATTTAAGTAAATAATTAACTTCAAAGTTGAGCAATTTAACATTGGTCTTATGGGGTAACCTCCAAACATTGATACATTTATGTATTTTTCTCGTAAAACTGTCGGTGAATATTTTTAAAAAACTTATGGGTGAAAGTAAATATATTAGTGATAAATTTAATTAAAAAAAATTGACACTTGCCCGACTAATTAAAGTTTATTAATTAAAAGAAAAATAAATGCCGCCATTAGCCAATGTTAAATGTATATCTTGATATTGAGAATAATCATAAATCATATGGTTACTGCTCTCCCCTTACCGCGCTAGAGCCGATACCTATCCCCACCCCGCCTAGCGCTCATACTTCCTTAACTTGTTAATTTAAATTTTCCTTATGTCACAACTTTAGGTATTAGTAGAATGTATACATATTTCTATATTAAACGGTTATACCTAGTTGTCAGCCCAAAAAACGCGTTTTTTTATGAGCTTTCTTTGAAAAGACATTTTATTTAACAAATACATAAAAAACATGTATATGTAATGAATTTCTTGTATTTTAAAACTCCGTTGTCCGTTCTTAAAAATATTATGTTATACTGCTCCTGGAGGTCCTCCACAAAAAGGTGTCTGGCGGTGAGCAAAATATGTCTAGTTTGGATTATGTGAAATGGAAAATTTCAAAAAATATATGTGGTAGTTAGATGAATGCAGGTTTTAATCGAAGAAATAGTCAAAAATTTGCTTTATGACTAAATGGTGACTTCTCAAAAAAAATAAAAAAAAAATAAAAAACAAAGCGATTCTCGAAATAAATTTCAACTCCAAGTGGTCTAAAAAATCGGAGTAATTGTCAAAAAACTTCCAATATGTCTATAAGAGATTTAAAATAAGAATTTTTTTTTGTGATTTAATTATAGTGATGATCCATGAGGTAAAAGGGAATATTAGAAAAATTAAATTAAGTTTTGGATCGAATAATCACATTTACAAGCTACAGATTCTAATAAATTCTTTGTTTACTTCAGTTGAGGTTACCATGGTTTAGTCTCACTCGGGACAAAGTTGTTATAGCTCTTCTTTTATTCAGCTTTTTAAACTAAGGTTTAGCCAGCTTTACGGAATAATATTAGAACTAAAGTTTGCTTTTGAAACGGTTACCACATAGAAATAAAAATTACTTGACTGGAGAACAAAATTCTTGGCTCAAGAAAACTTTCGGATACCTGAAGGAAGACCGAAGTTGTGTTGGCCGAAGTAAAAATTTTTCTTGAAATTCTATTCTTGGTGGAAGTAATTTTTTCTTAATTCAAATTATCACAAATACAATAAATTGATACAATAAATTTTTATATTTGATCAAGATTTTTAGATACTTTAGGAAAGCAGCGCTACCTACTTCAGCTAAGAAAAAAATTTTTCACCTGGAGAAAATTTTTCTCTTTAATATTTGATACCCATTTTATATTATTTTAGCGTGCAATTATGCATATTGAATGAAAAAAAATGATTCAATATTATTTAATCTTCCCATTTGACATATTAATCAATGAAAATTTACTTTTATCGAGATATTTAATTTTTTGGGGCTAGAGAGAAATTTTCTCAAGACAAGAAAATTTACTTCTATCAAGAACTAAATTTTTTAGAGCAAGAGGCTGAATTTTCTGAAAACAAGATTTTCTTGAATTAAATAAATTTTCTTGGATCAAGATACGTATTTCTTAAAGCAAGAGAATTAATATTGTTGGAATAACTGAAATTTCTTGTGTCAAAAAAAAATTTTTTTTTCGCTCAAGAAAATAATTAGGAAGAAAAATATTTTCTTGGCTCAAGTGAACCTTTTTTTCTATGTAAGGCGTAAAAATTTATCGTTTAAAACTTCAATCTGTTTGTTAGATTCATTGCATAGGTCTGTCTACAGTATGTTGTTATTCATAAAGATCTTTCTTATGCTACTCTTTGTTAGCCTATCTGCTGCTGCATTTCTTTATACTTATACATGGCCCAATAACATTCAGATTAATTTGATGACACAGTTGTTCTTTATTGCTTAGTTTAGTGTTTCGATTATGTGAGGAGAAGATGATATTTAGGTTTGGTCATGTACAGTGACGGGGTACTCGGAAAAAATGTAGTCACTACAACCATCTGAGAGCTTATATTGCCCATAGAGTGTTAGTACAGCAGTATGTTTGTGAGCAATTAATCTTATTGTTATTGGGCACTTGATTAAGAAAATGTAAAAAATGGCGAGTCGGTCTAAATGTTTGAGTTATCTGACGTACAATTATCTGAGCCATCTAATATATAGTTATCGTAATATCTATTAGATATTTAAGGGCGTATTGATATTGTAATCCCACAATTTGGTTTTAAGAACAATATTATTTTTCGTTTAATGCCAGTGAATTATTACTAAGATAATCAATTAAGATCACCGAAAACTTAAAATTTTAATCTAGAATAATGTTTATTTCTTTGACAAAAGTTATACTTTCGTCTCTAATTGTAAGAGCATAATAATTTATTGAATATACAATAAAGTCAAACTAAGTTGTTTTTCTGATTTTTTAAGCGAATAAATATAGCATTGTCAATCAGGGTGAGTATATTATTTGCTCACCTCATAGTACAAAATTGATGAATCGATGCAAATTAACTTAGTATCGAAATATCAAAAATGTGATCCCCGATTCATTGTTAATTAAAACTAAAGCATTCGTGCAATACGTGATGTAAATTCTTGGTGTTTTTTTTTTCATTTGTTGCGTATAGACTTTGAGAAAAGCAAAGTTGCTTTCGATATTTAGAGACTTCCTTTGTACTAATTATGTTCACAAGATTATTTAGTTATTTTACAGATGTACGGTCATTTTGTGAAATGATTATAAACAGACATCTATTTTACTAGTTCATACACTCATGAAGTTATATAGGTGTGAGACAAGATTCTAAAATTAGTGAAATGATGGGATTACTTTCAGAATAGAAAAATGTGTTGGGAATATGGCGTTTGTATTCAAATTATCTTTAGATTAGCGATTTTTTAATGCTTAGGATTCATATTAGATCCGCTACCCACCAGGTTTCGGTGAGTGCTTTGATGATGAGACAAGGGGACCAAAGGTTGAGATCAACGTCCCTTTATTCATTTCGTATTGCCGCAGAACACTTTTAATTGAGTTTGGTCTACTTTTCATAGTGCCAGTAGAATATCAGAAAAATTTATGAGCTATATTTCTGGCACGAAAGAGGAGGAGAAGGAAAGAAACTGGGTCCCTCAATCGAAACGATCATTGTAGCATATACTAACTAGACATAGAAATTAAAAATCAAATGTAAAAGCAATGATATATTTTCAATCGCGTATCTAGTTCAAATAGACAGAGTTATTTCCAACTGCTCGTCAATAAAATTGAAAACTTTTTAATAATTCGAAAAATTAATAATTTAGATTGTCGAAAATCGAATTTTCATCAAATATCAACGTTTTGAGGTCCCAAAGTTATTTCAACTATTTATACGATAATTTTCAGGAAAAAGATTTAAACAAAACTATTTCAGTTAAGGGTACGTTTTGTCACCCTCGCCTGAAATCAAGTTTCATCCTGTGTCACATACGATGTTTTTCACATCGCTTGCATTAAAACTTAAAGTTTTAATGGCCGGAGTTAGTCGAAATAAAACATTTTGCGATCGATAGCACATTGACCATTGTTCAACTATCAATTTAGTAAGTTATTTAAAGGTTTACAATAAATAAAAGCAATTTTTACAGGCCTGAAAATGATATTAACTCTGACAGTTTCTACCCTCGGAATGACATCGATCTAAAATTATCTTATTTCGACTGGATCAACAAACGTTTAAGCTTTAAGTTCCACTGCAAGTGATATGAAAAAAAAATTTTATGTAATAGGAAGCCCCCTCATTCAATTAAATGCAATTTTATCGGAAAAACTTTAAATGAGAATAATGTGAGTAACAAAATTTGAACGGCTGCCCAATTTTAAAACACAGTAACTGCAAAATTTTTATACCTCATTTTTTTTAAGGAAATCCTTTCGCTCCAGTTGAGTCAAAACAATTGTAGTAGTCAATATACGATAAATTAAAATAAAAAACCCATAAAAATTCCTAAAATTAAATAATAAATAGTATGAGGCATTAATCGTTGAAATTTTGAAAATAAAAAAAAAAAAATAGTTAAATACAAAAATTAATTTGACTCTTTCAAAACAGCTGCAAGTAATCTGTCCGTGATTTGGCAACGCTGTACTTCGGTTGTTTACATTTTCCACGGAGCTTAGATAGATCTATCTAAGCTCCGTGACATTTTCATTTGCACAATATAACCTTAACCACGTTTAAGTTTTTGCAGTCAGAGTAAATAAATAAATTAGTTTGAATTTATTGAATGGTCTGAAGCTCGCCCGCTACGCAACGTTGCCAAATGTTTTGACTCCATTTTAACGTAGATTACTTGAGAATTTTTTGTGATTTTTAAAAATTAATTTCTCAATAAATATCTCGGTAACTGATATATTTTATTACAAAAAAAGAAACCTGAATATTTCGAAAATCTAATTTTTAGGTTTTTTTTACTTCATCTAATCCATGACTGATAATATAATTCGAGAAATACTGCAAACGTCTAACTTTCTCGTAAGACTCTGAACAAATACTAACATTTAAAAACTTTATTTTTTCAAAAATTTGTCCGGTAAAGTATAATCTAAACCTCACTATTAGATAAATAAAGACCTTAACTATTAGAAAAAAATTGAATTTACTCATAATCTAATATTTTTTATTTTATATTGGCGGCGAAAGGACCTCCTTAATATTGCTGCATTTTTTATAACTTTTAGACCTTAATTTCAAGTATTTCTTCTTAAAAATATTTATATTCAAGTATTTTCTATTCATAAATCAAATTTTTCATCAATTTGGCAAGCAAACTTTTTTTTAATAAGAAAAAAAATTTTTAAAAACTTCTAAATGTTAGTTACTGTGTTTTGAAATTGGGTAGCCGTGAAGTTGAAAGAAAAACAAATGAGTAATTAATTAAAAAACAGAATTAATTTTTGTAAAGTAAAAGTCAGATTTTTAGTGTCAATGAAATTTAAAGCTCAAACCATGAGCTTCTAGATTTAATTCACGACAATTTGGTAAGTTGTCACATTCAAAAGTTATTTTAAAAAGAAACAATGAAAAACAGATTTTCTGAATTATTTGGAAATTTTAAATTCCCACTATTCTCAAACTAATCGATTAATTCGGTTCATTTGCGGACTTGACTTTACTTACTCCCTGAAGAATAAGTATGCCAAGTTTCATTAGAATCCGTTGAGAATCTCAAAATGAATGTTGATCAAGATATTTTTACTTATTACCGTTGTTTATTCAATAATAAAATATTCTAAAGGTGTAAACTAAATTAATTAAACAGTAACAACATTATTTTTATCTCTATTTATGGTTGGGGAAATGAAGAATTTTTCATTATACAGAAAACTAATTTAAAAGAAAAAAAAAAACTACCTCTGCTCGTAAAATGCTGCATGCTCTCCACAACATCTGCTTACTCTGGGCCTTATTGTGGAAGTGGCCCGGTTGGCCTCGACCTTCCTTACCGTACAAACAAGAAGAGCCTTTGAGTCCGCACAGTATTCGCTCGGTGAAATGTGTGTGTTGCTTCCGGCGGCGTCTAAGATTGCATGACCTTTGTCGAATATGATACATGGCGAAATATTGCTACAAAGTATGGGCGTTAAAGTTCGATTTTCGGTACATGTAGGTTTTATTGCTTCGTGAATTATCCATTCATTGGGTATTACAGATAGAAAATTTTTTTGCAATGGTGAATATATTGTTGGAATCCAAGTTGTGTTACTTTTCACACAAGCAAATTCCGATTTTGGGTCATTGTTTGATATTGCCAACTCTTCACCATTTTTACAGCATTTTAGCATTAAGATTGACGATGCGGACGTTATATAAAATAAATTAAAAATAAAAATCCACAAAAACGTTAACAATGCTATCGCCATTTCACTACTTGCAAGATAAAGTCGTTTTCTCGACTTTTTCCGAATACGATGATCGTATGTTTAGAAAACCAGGTCCCAAACTTGAACTGGTCATTTATTGAACAATAAGTTTTGACAACCTATTTCCAATTTGATACATTGACGTAAACATGTAAAACATTTTTAAAAATATTATATGAAACACACAAAAATATATTTACTAAAATATAGTCAAAAAATTAAAAAAAAACACGAGGTGAAATGCACGCTTAAAAATGGTTGGAGAGTTACTGAACTGTACTGAATACTGAACTAACGGCAGTAATGATCATAAAATAGAAAGGCACGAGGACGAGGATCAAAACAGCATGGTGAGGTTACTGCGCGCGCATATTGTCTCTGCATCTCAGCAGCAGCAGCAGCCCCTCTAATTTATATAGCTTCTACATTTCTTTTGAATTCTCTCCATTTGAACTATTTTCAACTTTTTTACTATGACTAGATTAGTATGCGCGCGCAAGCGTACGTGTTTACCTTTAAGATCGTCTAAATACATCCGTCATAATATCTCTCATAAAACTCTGAATAGCATAAGGAATAATATAACTGACCGTAACTTGGATTAGCATCTCAAATCTGTAAAATAATCAATTCCCCACTATATAACAATAGATCGTATAGGTATACACCAGTTATATTATCAATTACTCAACACTATGAGTTTTATCTTGTAAACGGATGATGACATAACAAAAATTAAGTGTTTGTCATTTTTTAATACTCATATGATTACACCATTTTTCGACAAAAATAAATGTAAAACTAAGCGACCATTCAACATCTGGAATGAAAGTTGATTCTCCAGTGTTAACTATAAAATGTACAAAATTGTAGGAAAAAAACCAATAATAAGATTTAAAAAAAATTGAATCTCATTAAATCATGGTCGTTTTAAGACTGGCGATTTTATTTTTCTAATTAAGTCACAAATAAATTTTAGAATAAAACAAAAGTATACTATATATAGTTTCCAAAAAATAATGTATGATTAACTATTACAAAAGCTCTCTGTAATAGTTTATTTTGAAATTTTTATGAAAGTAATCTTTATTTTGTTTAAAAAATTCAGCTTCCGTATGTTTGTGTCGTCATAACTCAAAAAGTTGTTGATAAATAACTTTTTTAACTTCCCGCTAAAAATCTCAGATTTTCAAAAATCGGGAAGTTATTGTTTTTACCCCGTTTTACAAAAATCGAGTTTTCATCAGATCTCGAGGAGGTCCTAGGAAGCTTCCCTGACTATTTTTACGATGATGTCCGTACATCTGTATGTGTGTGTGTGTGTGTGTGTGTGTGTGTAAACCTCTTGTAACTTTTGAACGACTTGACCGATTTCATCGCGGTTGGGGTCATTCGAAAGGGCTTCACTAAACTTAGATTTCCTAAAAATTTGAACCGATTCGGACCGGTAGATTTCGAGAAAATGCAAAAAAAGTAAAAAAAAAGTTGCTTTTTTTTTTTTAAATATCTCCGAATTGGCTGAACCGATCGGTCTCAAAAACTCATCAGCTCTTAACCTTGAAAACCCCCATCGATCGCCACCAAAAACGTTAGAATCGGTTGATGCGTTCGTGAGATATCGTTGTCGAAAAAAATCGAAAAAAGTGTTTTTTTGTAATAACTTCGAAATTCATGGCTCGATCGATTTAAACTTGGAAATTTTTTATGGAGCTTCAAAAACTGCGTCGATTGCCGCCAACCGCGTGAAAATCGGTTCATTTATTCAAAAGTTATTGCCATTTGAAAATTCAAAAAATTGTGTTTTTAAACTGCTATTAGAGTTTTGAGCTCGAAGAGCTCAAATTGACACAAAAATAATATTTTTGAACTCGAAGAGCTCAAAAACGTAATGTGTAGTTTGAAGCATTTAAGTACAAAATTAGCGGGAAGTTGCAGGGATGGCCTTTAGGGTGAACCGTTTTTCTAATTTTTTCTACAACATTACATTTTAATGGGAGAGTGTTTTTACATACTTTTTTTCCGAAGTTCTCCTCCAAACCGGAAATTCCAAGTTCCAAGCCGTTTGCAAAGTTCAGATTGAACAAATTAAAAGAATTATTTATAAGAACTAGTTGATAGCCACTTGTTTCGTTAGTATAGGCACACGATTGAATTTGATAGTGAAACCTAAACGTAAAATATATAAATAAAGTTAGTAATTCCGAAAATCCAATAAATATAATTTAATAGTAGAATGTAGTGATTGTATCTATATGAGTAGTATCATTATGAGCTTTTTTTTGTTTTTTAATTTTTCTGTAAGATCTCACTCATCATCAACAAAGCTTTATATAAATTCAGATTTAGTAAAGGCTTCATTTAGAATATTCGATCGTATTCCCAGCTAAGCAGACGGGTATTAGCTATTAGTTAAAAAAATAAAATTTCTAAAAACATATACATTTACTACTGCCTACTCTTAAATTTGGTAACAATAAAACTTCACGGACAATACTCTACAGCTATAATTAGTGTCCAATCCTTAGAAATAAAGAAAGATAAGCATTCGCTGAATTCTTTTTTACAAATTCACGGATTTGGATATTTTTAACTTCCCGCTGAGAAAATTGAAAATTTTCAAAAGTTGGGAAGTTATAGGTTTTACCCCGTTTTTCAAAAATCCAGTTTCCAACAAATGTTGACGTTTTGAGGTCCTAGGAAGCTTCCCCGAATATTTCCGCGATGATGTCCGTACGTGTGTGTGTGTGTGTGTGTGTGTGTGTGTGTGTGTGTGTGTGTGTGTGTGTGTGTGTGTGTGTGTGTGTGTGTGTAAATGGCTTATAATAACTTTTGAACAGCTTGACCGATTGGAACTAAATTAGTGGCATTTTAAACAGTTCCATCAAACTTAGAATTCCTGTGATTTTGAACTGATTCGGACTGGTAGGTTTTGAGAAATTAAAAAAAAAATATTTTCAAATGTTTTTTTTGGAATAATTTTTACGATCGATTCCGAAAACTAATTAGCTCTTAACCTCAAAAGACCACGTCGATCGCCGCGTTGTTCATTCGTGAGTTATCGTTGTCGGAAGAAAACCGAAAAAAGTGTTTTTTCAGAATTACTCCAAAATTCCTCGTTTGATCAATTCAAACCTAAAAATTCTTTATGAGGTTTAAAAAACTGCGTCGAATACCGCCAACCGCATGAAAATCGGTTCATTCATTCAAAACTAATTGCAGTTTGAAAATTTAAAGAATAGTGTTTTATTAAACATCCATCAGGCTTTTGAGTTCGAAGAGCTCAAAAGCATAGAACAGCTATTCTTTTGAGCTCGGAAAGCTCAAAAACGTAATAAGTGCAATTTTGAGCGCTTAAGTATGGAATTAGCGGGAAGTTGCAGGGATGGCCTTTAGGGTCAACCGTTTTCCTAATTTTTTTTTTTCATAGGTCAGATAGCTCGCATAGTCAATTCTAATTTGCTTTTTCTCAAGGTTTTCAAGAAATAGTATATTACATACCTCGGCCACATGAAGTTGTTGGCCGAGGCGAAGCCGAGGTTGACAAACATGTGGTCTCAGGCTTTTCTTATTTTACTGACTTAGGTATATGTAATATACTATAATCATAATCCTTTGAGTTTTTTTTTGTTTATAAAAAACAGTATATCATTTAAGAAATAAAAAATGCTCTATCGAAATTTAAGTTATGTCCGCACTTAGTTTTTGAACAAAAAAAATGTTAAAGTTACAAGAGTTATTCAGAGATATGGAGAGCGAATGTATAGTTAGTATACGATTTTCAATCAATCAAAAAATTAAGGGAGCCATAAAACTTCAACAATTTCCACAGTCAAAGAGTAAAAGCAGATATATTAGTGTTGTGCAGTTTTTCGTTTACACAGATTGTGCCGTAAAAATTATTCTGCACAAACCTACCAAAATTCTATACAAATTTATTGTAACAAGCTTCTTGCATATGGACGACGGAGCGAAGGAGGGGGGGGGGGGGCAAATGGGACACAGTGGAGTCTTCTTAACTTCTTCGCTCTCTAACTTCAACTACCCACCAACTTCCACTAAAAAGGTAGGAAAACGGTCATCCCTGCAACTTCCCGCTAATTCCATACTTAAGCACTCAAAATTGCACTTACTACGTTTATGAGCTCTCCGAGCTCAAAAGAATAGTTGTTCTAATATGCTTTTGAGCTCTTCGAGCTCAGAAGTCTGATGAATGTTTAATAAAACATTATTCTTTAAATTTTCAAACTGCAATTACTTTTGAATGAATAAACCGATTTTCACGTGGTTGATAGCATTCAACGCAGTTTTTCAAATTCTACAATTTACTTTCAAATAAAAATTGATCGGACCAAAAATTTCGGAATAATTCGAAAAAATCATTTTTTTTCGTCAACGATACCTCACGAACGAATCAATCGATTTTGACCAGCCCGGTGGCGGTCGACCTGGTTTTTTGATATTAGTGAATATAAGTGATATAAGTGTTAAAACGAATAAACCACTTATACACTTTGATATAAGTGAAGCCGTTTAAAAGTTATCCCAAAAAAACCACATTTGAAAAAATGTTTTTTCGTAGTTTTCTTGAGATTTCTCAAAATCTACTGGTCCAAATCGTATTGAAAATCTGTTTGGTCGAGCCCTTTCGAATGGTGCCAACCGCGATCAAACACACACACACACACACACACACACACACACACACACACACACACACACACGCACACACACATTCTACTGTACTTTTTCTTCAAAAAAGCTTTTAAAATATTTGAAAGTGGATTTAAATATCATTCTAAAATCTAAATTTCTCAAAAAGGATTTTTCATCAAAAAATAACAAAATTTCTTTTTCTGCAACATCATTTACATCATTAAAAATAAATTTGAACTCCACGGCCTTCAACTTCAAAAAAATTTCATGAGATCTAAAGACATAATTTTCCATCAAAAGAATCATTCTTAATTAATAACTTATTTAGAACCTGTGGAAAAATTATA